ATTTAACCAAAGTGTTTAACTTCTCAGGTTCTGTGGTTTGGTGTCAGTCATTAACTTTGAAAAATTCTCAAATATTACTTCAAATGCTTCTTTTGCTTAGTTCTCTTTTCTTCTCCTGGCAATTTGATTGTGCATTTGCTTCTTCTTTTGAAATCACCCCAGTGTTCTTGGATGTTTTTCCTTTTCCTCTGTTCCACCTTCACCCATTTTTCTGTTTGCATTTCAGTTTTGAAAGTTTCTATCACCCTATCTTAAAACTTGTGATTTCCATGGGCTTGCTGAGCCTACTGGTGAGATTATTGCAGGCAGTTATTATTTCTATTATAGCATTTTTTCCTTTTCTTCTTTTAGAGACAGGGTCTCACTCTGTTGCCCAGGCTGGTCTTGAACTCCTGGACTCCAGTGATACTACTGCCTCAGCCTCCCAAGCAGCTGAAATTACAGCACGGGTGCGTGCCACTGCACCTGGCAGTCTGTTACAGTGCGTTGAATTTTAGCATTTCTTTTTATTTCCTTTTGATTCTTAGAGTGTCCATCTGTTTGTAATGCCCATTTCTCCTGGCATGCTGTCTACTTCTTCTATTAGAACCATTAATGTATTAGGAATAGTTATTTAAAATTCCCTGTCTGATAATTTCAACATCTGTGTTATGTCTGAATTCGATTCTGAAAATTGTTTTGTCTCTTCTTTTCTCTTGATGTGCTTTGTAATTTTCTGTTGCAAACTAAGCATATCAGGTAATAGACCTTTACTGTGAGGATTTATGTTAATCTGGCCTGAAGTTGGGCTGTGCTGCTGAATGTTACCTGCAGCTCTATGTTACAGAGGTTTCAAGTTTTCCTAGTGTCTCTGTTTCTCCCTTTCACTTGGGCTCCTCTAAGTACTCTTTTTCAGAAAGAGTCTGGAGTCCTTTCAACTGTTACTGAAATGATTAGTGGAGTGGATTCTTGTTGGTGTGTGGTTAGGAGGCTCTGACAATCCTTTTTCATTTTCTTTTTGACTTAAAAATGTTCTTTCTTTCAGCTTCTGTCTTTCTTAAGTCATTATTTGCTGTGCCTATGTGCTGTATATTCCCTTTTTGAAAGTTTTTTTCCCCCTGAACTATATCTTTTTTATTTTAAAGATGTGGGTACAATTCAGGTTTAGGTATACAAATGGTCATTGTACAGGTAAAGTTTGGGCCTCACTTTGGCCGCCACTTCACCTGGTTTGAGATCAGTTACCCTTGTTGATGAGGTGTGTCCCCCCTGAAATAGATCTTTATTTTATTTCTATTTCTTCCTGAGCTCTTTTGCCAAATTTGTCAGTTTTTCGAATTTTGATTCAGGTTGTTATTTCATGCTTAAGTAGCATAAAGTGTTTCTGCTCCTTTTGAAAGAGCAGGTTAAAGTTTTGGTAAACTTTGTGAGCGTATCTTTTTGGAGTGCTTTCAAATATATTGATGGCAACCCCATCAACATATTTTGTTGCTCATTTGTGTGAAAAAACACTTTCCTGCACTTTTAGAAAGGGTGTAGTACAGGATAGTTTATTTTTTAACTTTCCAGAGCTTTCTCTGGTTATTTTTGTGCAGTCATTCAAAAACATGATACCCAGATTCCCTTCCCAGTTCTACCTAAACCTTCTCTTCTTCTCTGCAGCCCTTACTGTAAGTAATTTTGATTTCTCTCACACAGTTCCTTTCAGGGTTCCATCCTGGGAGGGAGATTTGGACCTTTGGTTTTGGAAGTTCATAGTGTCCTGATGGATTCGGTTCTTCAGGCCTTACAACTGCTGTTGGATCGGGCAAACTCCTTCCCACTTTCAGTTGCTTTCTCACTTTGGCCCACAGCACTTCCCAGTGAAAATCTGTTGGCTATATTGATGTTTTGTTTCCAGGTGTGACAGATGCCCGGTACTTCTATTTTCTCCCACACAGATGCTGATTTCACACAAATCTTGGGGCTATTGGGAGGTTATCACTACCCATTTTCATTTTGGAATTTATGGGGCTACCACGTCACCTATTTTTGTCATAAGCATAGTCCATGTGGATTTTGGTTTTGCTGTCTAGTGGGTCAGATATGTGGGAATTCAGAGAAATTCAGAAATAGGCCACATCTAATGTCCCTAGCTAATCAAGAGAAGGTTAAGCATTGCTATTCCCTAATTGTTAACTTGAACAATCTTTCTTCTACATCATTGTGCTATAACTTTCCTAAAATTCTTCAGGGACTCCTCCCTATCCCCAGGATCAGTTCCAAAGTTATTAACATAGTAGTGGACATTGAGCTTCTGCTAGCTCACCTCTTTTCCAGCCATAGTGCCCATCACCTCATGCACGAATCCTTTGCTGTAACTCTCCCATTTATTCACTATACTTTTTTCTTTTTTTTTGGAGTTGGAGTCTCACTCCGTCTCCCAGGCTGTAGTGCAGCAGGACCCTCATGGCCACCCCAGCGCTGACCTGCTGGGCTCCAGTGATCCTTGTGCCTTAGCCTTCCAAGTAGCTGAAACTACAGGTGTGCGCTACCAAGCCTGGCTAATTTTTTAATTTATTGTAGAGACGAGGTCTCACCAAGTTACGCAGGCTGGTCTCGAACCAGTGGGCTCAGGCAATACCCTCGCCTTGGCCTCCCAAAGTGCTGAGATGACAGGCTGGGCCACCGAGCCTGGCCTTTACTCACTATTCTACAAACACAAGATCTTTCACACCTGTGCTGTTTTCTAAATGAAAATACTCCTCCAAATTTTTCCTTCATTCTATTCAACTCAAAATTACACTTTTTCTGAAAATGTTTCTTTGAGCCCCTTAGAATGAATCATTGATTTTGATGCAAAGTAATTAAATAGTTAAAATCACAGACTCTGTCTCTGGGTTCAAATCTCAGCTCAGATGTTATATAGACGTGACCGGGGATAAATCCTTATTTACTTAATGGGAATTAGAATGCTGCCTCACTTGTTGGTTATTTTTAAGGCTTTTTTTTTTTGAGTTGGAATCTCACCCTGTTGCCCAGACTGGAGTGCAGTGGCAGCTCCCGGCCACTGCAGTCTCAATCTGCTGGGCTCTGGCGATCCTTTCGCCTCAGCCTTCCAAGTAGCTGGAACTACAGGCGCGTGCTACCACGCCCAGCTAATTTTTGATTTATTGTAGAGATGAGGTCTTGCCAAGTTGCCCAGGCAGGTCTCGAACCTGCGGACTCAGGCAATCCACTCACCTCAGCCTCCCAAGGTGCGGGATTACAGGCTTTTTAAAGAGGTAATCCATGCCAAGGATTTAGTACTTTTCTGGCATGTAATAAGTGCTTCGGTAATTGAAAGCCATTGGTTTTTTTTAAATTGCAAGTTAATATTATTCAATTAAAGACTTAAAATCTAACATCCACTGTTAACTATACTTCAACTCAATCTTTTCTTTTGTATTTTTTTTTTGTTTTGAAGTTGTGGGGTGCAAGTCCCCACAAGGATTGCATACATAAGTGGTTTAGGTACAGATGAAGTTTTAGATCTCTCATTGGACCTTAATTTGCCTGGATTAGGATCAGGTACCCTTATTGATATCATGTGCCCCTCCCCCACAGTGTCCTCTTACTGCCAATCCCTTTTTTGTAGTATTATGACAGGTGTTCATGGTCCACTTATGAGTGAGAACACGTGGTACTCAGATCTTTGTTTCTGTGATAGATCACTGAGTATGATAGACACCAAATCTAACCAAGTTGCTGCAAAGTCCATAATTTTGTCCTTCTTTATGGCTGTGTGATATTCCACTGTGCATATGGACCACTTTTAAAAATCCAGTCCAGTTTCGATGGGCAGCCCCATGTTTCTGCTATTGTGAAGAGTGCTGCAATAAACATGTGTGTGCAGGTATCTTTTTTGTAGAATGATTTGAGTTCCTCCAGGTATATTACCAGAAGGGGGATTACTCAGTCATACGGAATGTCAATTTTTAGTTTCTTTTAGAAATTGCCACACTGTTGAATTAGTTTGCACTCCCGCCAACAGCGTAGATGCGTTCCCTTCTCTCCGCATCCTCACCAGCATCTGTGGTTTTTTGTTTTATTAATGATGTTAATGTCCTTGTCTCCCAATAAATGATGTTTTAGAAGGTACAGACCTCCTTTTGCAAAATTATCCCATCCTTAGGGACTAACAAATGGCTTTGCCTAAATTAAATATTTAAAAGTTTAATGTTATTTTTAGCCATGTGAAAGGAGAAAACTCATGGTAAATTTAGGAACTCATGGCAAATGTAGTGGAGAAAAGAGGCAGGAGGGAGCTTACAGTGGTGGAGAGACGAAAAATTATGGCTATTAGACTAATCCAGAACTAGGTTCGAATCCTGGCTATGGCACCTATAGCCTGGACATTATGAGTATGTGTTTAATTGGGTATTAAAAACCTAGGCTGGACAGTTAGACTTCCTTGGCTGGATCCAAGCTGTAACATCTTTCAACTGTGAGACCTTGGGCAACTTACTTCAAACACTCTAAACCTCGGCTTCTTCCCTTTAATATGGGGATAATCACAGCACCTACCTCGTAGGACTCCCATGGCAATTTCAGGAATTTTTGTAGCTAAAATATTTGAAACAGTGATTGACCAAGGTAAGGTATTTACACTATTACTAAAATACCAATTTTGCTGATCCAGAAAGCTATGATTCTGTATATATGAACACCTCCTACTAACAAATGAACAAGTGATTGAGGCTCTTAGACTTACTTTCTGTGTTCATGGATATAATGTCAAATAAGAGTGGGGCCTATTTTAATTTTGGTTGTAGTTTTTATTAAGATTGGGAAAAAAGACTCTTGCCTTGACCGAGCAGTGAAATTATCATGCAGAGTAAAACATTCAGAATGGATATGAATATTGGCAAACATTTTGGTATGGGTCCTGGACTCAGTTATTTTAAGTCCTGATCCCTTGAAAAGTCAGCTGGTTGGCTCCAGGTGAGGGGCCATTGTCTCACAAAACATTTCACCGTATAAGTGAACTCTTTCATATTTACCTTGAAGACGGAAGCAAACTTTGTATTGCCGTGATAAATAGAAGAACGATAAATGCACAGACCAAGTTCGACTTGAACACTTCATCCCTCATTTGAGAATACTGTAATTTAAAAAAAGGGAGAATGAATTAATTAGTAGCAGAGTTGGGCTTTTGGAAGTACTAACTTTTGGCAGTTTTGAGGGTTGAGAGAAACATCAAGAAAAACAGGTCAATCAGATTTTAAAAAAAAAAACATTAAGAGGAATCTGTATCTTAATAAAACCTTCAAAGAGTGTTATTGTCATCTCTCCTGCCAACCGTCCAGTGACAGCCCAGGAGTAAATCCCATGGAGAGGGCAGGATTTTGCTCCAGCTTATCCAGTCCCTCCCCTCCCTCTGCACTGACATCATTTTCACAGAACAGAGGAGCACACATCCATACGTGCAGCAGATCAAATATACATTGACTTTCTTCATGAGTAAACTTAAGTCATTTAAGGATCTTGCTGTTTCTTGTTAGGCTTGGGAACACCGGGGAGTGTTTTTACCAAGGAGTCTTTCTGACTTTCTTTTAAAAATAAAAAAAAGACTGAAAATAAATTCACAGAATCTTCAAATAGAAAGTAGCCTTAAGAGATCTCAGCAAGTGTAGCCCTTTCGTTTCACAGAAGAGAAACCAAGACTGATAGACCAATATGCTTGATGCCCTTCTATGTCTGCTCAAGACAGCCCTGGGGAATGATGGTAACTTTATTTTGATTATCCAGAGTATGCAGTAATTTCATTGTCCAGCTTTAAAAGCTTCTAGAAGGTCAGCACTGAATGTGTATTTGCCTTACTTCTGCCTAGTCTCTCAAACCATCTTGAAGTCATTAAGCTGAGAAATATTCTACTTTTTTCAGAAAGAGGGAGGGTTTTTAGAACTGAACAAGAACTTAGAAACAGTTTAAACCAAGCGCCTCATTTTACTTTAATGCCAGGGAGGCCTAGTAACTTGCTTTGATCACAGAGCATGCAGGTCATTTTGAGGTGGGAGAGGGGCACAGAAGCTGAGCGTCCCTTTGAAACTTTGTAATCCTTGCTTTGAATTTCACAGTGACTTTGTACAAGAAGCTGACAAGGAGAGCTCTCACAATATCTTAGGCTGTATACCTACAATACCAAGACAAGGTTTCAGCCAGGTCAGTGAAAGAACAAAACTAGCCCAGTGTGTTGTTGGTATGTTGTTTGCAATCAACAGTTACATAATTTTTATTCTCTTGTTGACTTCTTGGTGTGGTCTGGGATTCAGATTCACACTTACTGCTGAATGTCATGGTTAAGGTTGGGGCAATAAGCTAGCTAGTGAGCTCCGTAGGTGAAGGACAATGGTGCTTAGAGACTGCACGTGTATTGCTTTTGTAGGGAAGTGCTTTTGTCCCCCTCTCCAGTATTGAAGTCACTGTCCACTCGCTGACAACCTGCCTGAAATCTGGAAGAGAGCCAGGAACATGGCTCTGAAGAATCACTACAAGCCATCCTTACTCCTGATAAAACCACAGAAAACCCATGCTATTCACGTTTCCAAGAGCGCTGCCTAGGAACAGGGCACAATCAAAGCGGCCCACACATGCCAGCTTGAAAATAAATGAGTTGGCCACAAAGCAGTTAATTCAAAGCAAGATACATGTAATGTCTGAGTTCCTTCTAACAACCAATTACGCAAGATCAAATTCTTCTTTGTAGGCTGACTGAGTAATTTCCCCAAACCAGCTTGGTTATATAGATTTGATAACGGAATTTTAAAAGCAACAATGATAATTTTTAGGGTCGATAACTGTTCTCCTCCTCCTTCTCTTCTCCTTTTTTTCATTTTCTTCTTCATCTGTCATTATCCTTATCGTCATCACAGCATCTTGAAACTGTGATGGCCGTTGTCTTCCCAATTCAGATACCTTTTCCATAATATCCCTGATGTCTAATCAAATGTGTGTTGATAACCATCAGGTGACCTTTTCTACTTTGTTCAGGAAGCGGGTCTCTTTTCTCTGAGCCTAGGCAGGGCATCCTGGGGTTTTAAACACTGTCAGCTTGAGCACTCCTAATGCCTGAGCTTAGGAGATCACTCCTTTGCTGGCCCACAGTCACTATGAAAATGTCCTTTCCATTACTGGCCTGCAGTCACTATGACAATGTCCTTTCCAGCCAGGCTCGGTGGCTCAGCCTGTCATCCCGCACCTTTGGGAGGCTGAGGTGAGTGGATTGCCTGAGCCTGCGGGTTCGAGACCCGCCTGGGCAGCGAGACCTCATCTCTACAATCAATCAAAACATCAGCTGGGCGTGGTAGCGCCTGCCTGTAATTCCGGCTACTTGGAAGGCTGAGGCGGAAGGATCGCCGGAGCCCAGCAGGTCGAGGCTGCGGTGGCCGGAAGCGGCCACTGCCCTCCAGTTTGGGCGACAGAGTGAGACTCCAATTCAAAAGAAAAAAAAAAAAAGAAAAAAAAAAAAGAAAGAAAATGTCCTTTCCTATAGATCTCAAACCTGAGACTGGGTGACTCCTTACATGAATGTTTCTTGCCGATGACTTCAAAAGAAGTCACATAATCGTCTGTACAGGATAAACTTCATTAGGTTTTATAGTTTTTATTTTCTTCACAAGGCAACTTGGTTGGAAGCAAAGTAGGAAGACTTACTTTGCCTCTCGTTCTGTCAGCATTTTACTGTGAGCAAAGCCAATTTCTTTGAAGTTCACTTTTCTTGTCCATCAAATGGGAAGTAGAATACAATTCTTAGGTTTTGCAGTGCTAAAGCATTTTATTATTTTCATGCTTGAACTTTAATGCCTTGCACAGTCACATAAAAGAAGAACCTTATAATGTGTGTGAAACTGCTGTCAATCAAATAGCATATACAGGGATTCAGAATGGAGTGCATTGTTACTTTGGAAATGTAAGAACAGAACTATGAAAAGAAAATTCCTAATTGGCTCAGGATGATAGGGTACTGAGAATGAGTGGTGATTCATCACACTTCCTTTTGACTTGAGGTCTGAACACTCTGGCTCATAGCTATATTAAGTTTGTTGTATGTTTCTGCCTGCCAAAGTCAGAGACTCCTTGTCTCGTCCCTGCTCTGTCCTCACCTGGCCCTGCTTATCCTTGTGAGCATGAACAAATCAAGAGTGAGACTACTTGTGTTTGAATTTCAGCTCCAAACTTACAAGCTGTGTAGGCTTGGATACATTTACTAAGCCTTCTATGTCTCAGTTTCCTCATCTAGAAGTGGATATAATAATCAAATTTGTCTCATAAGGGATACTTAGAGAATGAAATGAGTAAATATATGCAAATTGCTTAGAGCAATGCCTTGCACATAATAATCCTATATATAAATGTTCCTGCTATTAATCAATTAGTTATACTTATTTAATTGCTATACTTTCACCTGCATGAAACTTGCCTTTTCAACCATAATGTTGCCTTCCACAATGCTGCCTTCCATTCCTCTGTACAGAATTGGGGACCTTAAAAGTGCTGTTATTTTAATATGGCTTACTATATTATAAAGGGTTCTTCTAAAGAGATTATGATCTCAGGTGGGGTCTTCTGATGTGGAAGAAGACCCTGCCCATATCCTTCCCTTGTTTGTAAAATATCCCCCACCACTGGGTGGAATTTTCAGCTTCTTCAGAATCTTTAGGAAAGGTGTTTTTGGAACTGACCTCTGAACACTTATAATTCACTGAGTCCTAGGTCAATGAGAGAATTTGGCAGTCATATATACATTTTTTTTTTTCAGATGAGAAACTTGGGGATCAGAGATGGGAAAGAGCTTATCATGATCAATTAGTTGGTTGGTGGCAACGGTTTAGACAACAAGCCACATCTCTGGACTGCAGTCAAGCGTTTGTTCTGTTTGACCACAGTCTATGGGCAGGAAATACCTGGGGCAGTACCTGAGCCAACTTGAAATGGGATTCATATCAATCAAAAGAGCATGCCACTTGGAAACAATTACAAGCACTTCCTTTAGGAACTTGGATTTGAATTTGGATTATTTTTCAATCTGCAAAGTTTTGGTTGATTCAGAGAAAGGTCAAAATCTAGGGCAACAGATTTGGATAATAATGACTAATACCTCGTGTGTGGCAGGTACTGTGCCACATGCTTTACATGGATGCTCTCATGTAACGATCACAGCAGCAATTTGAGAAAGATCTTGTTTACCATATCATCACTTTGTAGATAAAGAAACTGAGAATATGTACTGGTGGAGGTGGTGGGTACACTTAAATCCCAGCCTTCTTCACCTCTATACAATTCATCCATGTAAGAAAACCATGGGTACCCCCAACGCTACTGAGACAAAAATAAACACAAAAATTGGTAAAAAATAATAATAATAACTGAGAACTCAACCACACCTTCACAGATCGTAAATAGGGAATCCAAACAGTTTGGTTCTAAAGTGCAGGATCTCACTGACTGCTGCTACCTTGTCATTTTCAGGGTAAGGCCATCTTGTTCCTGGGTATATTTCAGTGATGTAATTCATGATGCAAAGAGAGTCAATGGGTTAAAAATTTGTGTCTATGTAAATCTTGCTTAGAATGAAAGTAAAGCACGATCTGGGCAAATAATGAGCTTTAGAAACACCCTATGAATTAGTTTAATAAAACAGCACTGTTGTATTTTCTTGATTGATGAATGAATCCTCAATGCAATGCAAAATAATAAAACTTTTTTTTTTAACCTTGATGGATGAATTGACAACCAAGTAGAAAACAAAAGACATTGTGAATTTTATTTTATTTTATTTTTAGTTGAAGTCTCACTCTGTTGCCCAGGCTGGAGTGCAGTGGCATGCTCACGGCCACCCTAGCATTGACCTGCTGGGCTCTGGCGATCCTTCGGCCTCAGCCTTCCAAATAGCCGGAACTACAGGTGTGGACTACCATGCCCGGCTAATTTTTGATTTATTGTAGAGACAAGGTCTCGCCGAGTTGCCCGGGCTGGTCTTGAACCCACGGGCTCAGGCCATCCACTTGCCTCGGTCTCCCAAAGTGCTGGGAGTTACAGGCTGAGCCACTGAGCCTGGCTTGTGAATTTTATTTAAATGCAACAGAGTAAGAGGAAATTCCC